AAAAGGTGTTTGATTTCTAGAAAAACACTTTTAAAATTATTTTTAACACTAGAGAAAATGAATGTTTTAAGAACTCATATAAACCTTGAGTATTTGGAAAAGTCATTGGTCAATAACTCATTTTTAGTTCATTTTATTATTTGGAAAAGTCATTGGTCAATAACTCATTTTTAGGTCATTTTATATATAAAAGTTATCGAAACATTTTTAACTTATTAGCTTTTTCAACAACAAAAACTAATCCAAACGTTTTTATATATACATTTTTAAAAATTATAAGTCAATAAATCATTTAGTCAAGGTCCTTTTAAAGTTTAAAAAGCAGTCTCAAACATCATCGTAGACTTACTTTATTGGCAACCAAAAGCTTCGTTGGTTGCCACATTTGATTTTAAAAAAATGTCATTAAAAACCACAACGGGTTTTTAGCAAACCCGTCATGAGTTTGCTGCAAACTGGTTGGTGGTATGCGTCAATCACAATTAACGAAGGGTTGTAGAAGAAAACGAACGAAAAATGGAGGAAACCATGGAGGAATGTTTGAAATTGTTATGTCGATTGTCGGCTACAGGAGTTTGAGAAGGATACGTGATTTTAGGGTTAGAATCATTGAGGGCAAAACCTTAGAAACGTGTGTGTGTGTGTGTTTGTTTGTGTGTGTGTGTGTGTGTATATATATATATATATATATATATATATATATATATATATATATATATATATATATATTCACGATGGGGCGGGTCGGGGCAGAGATATCCCACTTTTTTCTCCAAACCCGAGCAAAATACCCGATAACGACCTATTACCCAACCCAATACCAGATAAGAGTGACCCACCCCCAAAATCTTCAGGTTCAGGTTTTCCCTTCGAATTCGAATTTTTTGCCATCCCTAGGTTAGCTCCACCAAACCTTAGTTGACCTTTTATTATTTTTCTTTTATTTATTTGTTATAACTACTTTGCATAATAAACATTATTTTGTAATTTAATTTATTTTATTTTTATTAAACAAATACATAAAATAATTTTGTCTATAAATTATGACCAATATTGATATATTTTAAAAAAAATATATTTTCTATATAATCTTAAAAAAATAATAATAGAAAACTGGCTATAAATTGAAAAAAAATATATTTAGTTTGTATAATATAATAAAAAGAGTAAATTGAAAATTTGTCCTTGTGGTTACCAAAAAGTGCAGTTTCGGGCTATTTTTTTACACGTACGGATGGTCCAAAATAGAAACTATCGTGTAGAATTAGTCACTCGGCTTAATGGTCATTATCTTTTTTCAGTTAAGTTACTCATATGCCACTCATGTGAGGACATATTTTTCATTTCACATGTTTCTCCTTAATTATTTAATATACAAATAAATATTTTTTTTCTCTCTCTATCACCTCAATCAGCATCTCCTCTTGTTGATATTCCTTCCGTTCAAGGATTTGGTTTCCCTCGGATAAAACACACAAACTCTTCAGGAAACCCAAATCTATGATCCCTCTAGTGAAACAAACACACAACCTGTGCAAGAAACCAAAATCGTTCATCAATGATAACTATCAACAAAACTCAGTCGCTAATCTAAACGCAAATAATGAATCAAGCCCTAAATCTCTTCAATAAACCCCATAATTGAATGTTTGTTCAATAAACCCCACAACTGAATGTTTGTAGAGAGGGTGAGATGAAGGAGATAAAGCATTGGGGTTGGTTTGGTGGATTTGGTTTACCGGAGGAAGTGGGTTACGATGGTGAATTATGGGGGAGAGTGTGAGACAAAGGAGATGAAGTGGGGCTGACAATTATGAGATTCTTTTGTGGATTGATTTGTAATCTGATTGATTACTTATTTGGCTTCTGATTTTGCATACCTATCACCTCCTTTCTATTCATACATGATTTGTTTTTGTCGTGAATCGTTGAATTAGTGTATTTGTGTGTTGAACAAAACTCATCTCTCTCTCTCTCTCTCTCTCTCTCTCTCTCTCTCTCTCTATATATATATATATATATATATATATATATATATATATATATATATATATATATATATATATATATATATATATATATATATATCACACACATAGTGAAGCTTCCCAATGACAGATAGCAGTTCCACATTAGACAAGTATCTACAATATCAAAACTCACCCTCATTAAAAAATTTAAAACCAGTTGTATGAGAAGTCAATCCATAAGATATTAGTGTTGGATTGGGTGTCTAATCTCATAACTATAATTGGTATGTACTTGAATTGATAATAGCACAGTCTTTTTAGATTGTCTTCACACTAGTAACTAGACAGGATAACCTATTGAGAAAGAGGAAGAATTTATTATTTGATTAATAAATTGTAATAAATGATTTATTAATATATTATGGAAATAATATATTAATTAGAAATAATATATTTTAATTAATATTTAGTCAGAAATTAATTTTTAATATTTATTTTGGGATTAAATGAATTAATAAAAAAAATTATAGAGGCTATTTAGCAATTTATTGATAGTTGTGGATTAGGGCTCTTGGACCACCTTAGAAGGGTTGGACGAAAACTTCTTGGGAGGCCCTAGAATTTTCATCCAAGGCCTTGGATGGGGAATCCATGAGCTATTTAGGCCTTAAGCTAAGTAATTAGGGTTTCCTCTAGCAAACGCCAGCTTTGGCTCTAAGCTACCTCAGCTATATAAGGAGCTAAACCCCCTCTTAATTTCGGCCACTCCAACCCTAATAAGAATAGCCGAAATTTAAAGCGTCCTCCTCCTCTCTCATATAACATCCTCTTTCTAAGTGTGTTCGTAAGCCATTAGAGGTGTTACACTTGTGATACTAGTTATCAAGCTTATACAACAAGAAGGAATTGTTTGTTATTACTACATAACATTCAAAGTTTAGTTTACTATCTCTTGTTGTGAATTTCAAAATTGCTATATGTCTCCTAGGGTTTTTCCTTTTGTGTATCCAAGAATTAATGTTGCATGCACACATAGGGATTATTTGTAATGCTCCAAACCCATCAATTAGCAACTACCAAATCATTAAAAAATTATAAATCAAAAAAGTTCTTTGTATGGGATTCCAATGAATCAGTAGATTCATGTGAATAATTTTGACTATCTTCATCATATTTTCTTACAAGGTTAAATAGTCCATGGAATAACTCCTTGAACTTACTTTGAAGCAGTCTTGGATTATGAGTCTCTGCAGGGTGCTGAAAGCTAAATATCAAAATAATAATAATAATAATAATAATAATAATAATAATAAGCCTCAAATTTTAGGAGAAGAAGAAGATGGAAGTGTAAAAAGAAAACCATATATAAATTTTTATACCTTTAATAACTTACTCATTGAAGTCAGTTATATTTAACAAACCATTTCCATCAGCATCAGATGCATTAAAGTGCTCCTCTTTCTGCCACGAAGGGTAAAATCACTGAAAAACGAAGATTTGAAATAGAATCAGTGTCGGGAGTAATCAAATTGAATGAGAAAAAAAAAAGCATATGAAAATTAGGGTTTAAACATTAATGGATGGAATCAAATCCCAAAATAGGAAAAGTCAGGGCATTTCTTGGGCAAGGGTAAAATAGTACATCAACATCCAACACTGAATTTCTCTCACCTATTATAATTCCACAAACAAAAGATTTAATTTTAATAATATAAATCTTAACAAATCAGTACTTTAACATAGGATCAAATTTAACATAATCATACTAAACACGATAAATAGTAAATCTACATCAACAGTATATATATCATGGTAACTGAAAACAAAACATCTCAGCTCAAATTTGGCGATGAAACAGACCATAAAAATGCATAATATTGCCCAAAGTGTTGAATGTAGTTAACAATTGCACTTTTATATGTTTGCACATTATGATATATCATTGTAGTTTAACTAAAATCAAAGTACAATGCTATTTTAAGGTAGATTAAAAAGTTGATGATGCAATTCTATGTCATTATAGTTAAAATCATCTTTCATCACATAACCATTAAAAATTCATCTTTTATCGCATAGAGATGCACTAATTTCATCTTATAACACATAAAGACGAAAATTTCATTTTTATCGATATTCTCATGAGAATTTTAATTGATGTCTATACATCCAAACTAAAAAATTATCACATCAAACGTGTATTATACATGTTGGAAAAGAAACTAATTCTTTGAATGTTACTAAAAATTTAAATTTATAGTTGAGTTTGACTTGATAGTCATTTAGCACGATTCTAAGTCCAACAACAGTTGTAGTTGTCGTTAAGCAGATTCATCTCAATTCCAACATATAACACCTAGCCAAAAAGACATCAGGGGCTTAATACTTAACTTTAAAAATAATTAAAAAAAAAAAAAAAAAAAAACTATAACAGCTGAATTTGGCCCTTCATTTGAAGCAAACATGCTTTCTTCCTTCAGCATATTGACTATTTTGGTTGTGTAGGTGGTGACCCTGTGGTGAACCACGAGTCCAATTTTTTTAAGATTTTTTATTTTCTTTTAAGTGGGCTAGATGATGATGCTGCAGCAAAGAGATGAGGACCTTGAAACTGTTATGCCCAATTTTTTGTTAGACATTCCATACCTTTCTCTATTGTTGCTCCCTAATTATAAAATGAAAACCAATCATGACAAAAATGGTAATTTAGACACAATGTAATCAACTGCAACTTTTTATTAAGCAAAAGTAAGATACCTAATTTCCTAATGTGAAACTTGTTGCATCGAGTCTGTGAAACCTAATTGATGCATGATCATATGCTCTGTAACTATGAAATAGAATGAAATTAATTTCATACGAAAGGGTTCACATCACATAGTAATCATCTAATGTAAGATGAAATTTAAAAAAAAATGATAGTTTCATAGAAGGAAAAGACAGATGATTTGCTATCTCTCTGCAACAACCACAACCGTTATCATGGATTTTAGTTAGAAGATGCATGTGATAAATTTAGAGAAGGGTATGAATTTAGTTGTTCTTGATGGTCAAAACTTCTTCCATTTGTTTTCCTTCCACCCATTCAATAGCTGAAAACACAAAATTAGTACTTACAATGTTATAACCTACATGTGAATGGAACCGGTACTTGGTAGGCTAATGTGTGATCTAATTTCCTAGTGGCCAAACCACAGATTTAACCAATTCAACAAACATGAACAACAATTCACCCAAAATGATCATACTTCATACATGACTTCTCCCATATTCTAGAAAGCCATTTCCATATTTGACTAAACAAGTATTCTAAATCAATGTATGAATTGTAATATTATGAACATCAAAACAATATAATCTTAGGGCATGTTATAACATCAGGAATGTATATAGAAATCATCTTATTAATAAATAGGGATAGGGTTTTGCAAAAGAAAGCTAACCAACAGAAGAAGATGCGATGGCAGAGCCACAACCAAACATGTTGAAGCAAGCATTTTTAAGCATCCCGATATCTTCATCAACCTTAATTTGTAGCTTCATAACATCTCCACAAGTCGACGCACCCACAAGCTATGTTCCAACGATAGGATCGTATCCGAGTAACCATCTTTACGTGTTCCCTGGTGAGGCCCTCGTTCAACTTAGCGAAGAACACACCTTCTGCTACAACCGATACGCAAAAACACATTACACTAATATGTATGACAATTAGACATCACATTAACTTATAACACTAATTTGAAGATGAAATCGCAGTGATATAAAGAAACAAATCGACTAGGAAAAAAAGAAATGAGGCTCTAATTTACAAAACCAAAATGTTGGCAGAGTTCGTTGTGAGCGATCGCCTGTAGGGCGGTAGTGGTGAGACCATTTTCATGTTTAACTAAGAAGAAGAATCTGATGTGATGGAATGAAATAGAAGAAAAGATAGTTGAGGCGGTGACCATGGTAGAGTAACCCAGGTAAAACCCCTAAGAAAGGATGAACATGAACACGTGGAAACACATGGGACATTCCACCGACAAAACAAATATAATAAATCCCAAAACCCAATACTGAGGATAGAAAACGAAGAAAAAAAAATGAGAAAGAGTTATATGAAAACCCTAAAAATAGAAGGATAAAATATGAAAATAGGTAAACATGTGGACTAAAGGTGTCAAAATCCCACCAAATTTATTGTTCATAAGGTTTAACTTCTTTAATATATAACTAATAAAGAACCCCGGTTTACGAGGTTGGATGCGACAAAGAAATTGACAAAACGGAAATATTTTATTAAGGTACATTCAACTGTAAAATCATGAGCATTACATTATCTTTAACCAAAAAGTGCAACCTCTTCGAAGAGCATTAGTCATTCTCATTCATTCGTAAAATAACTCATTCAATCAAAATCCAAGATTCTAACAAAGGGCAATGTACTTTGTGGGTCATTGGATTCTCTATTTTGTTTACCATCTTCAGAGTCCTGGAAAAAAATCAAAATGCTATTAGGTACATTGTAAGTTATCTATCACTAATTAATATTACTGATATCAAAATGTAAGTAGAATGTTAATATGGGTAACAATCTATAAGTTAAATGCCATTATGTATGAAAATGAGAGATAACCCCTTCAAAGGAATTGGTGATGAAATTTGTTTGCGCAAAAGTAAGCATAATTTTTCTGTAGAGTATCATCATATACAAACACAACTCCTTTGTAAATTTGCTTCTTTGTCGTTTATCCTGCAAAGTTCAACCAAACCACCAGATGTTAATTCACTAAAACTCAATAATTATCATAGTGGAATTCTATTTTCTAGTTATTTGTAGAAAACTACTAGAAAATAGCAAGAAAATTTATCAGATTCATGTCGGTAAAAAATTTATAAATAAAAATGGGTACTACCGTAAAACTTAAAAGTGAATCATTGATTGTAATGCTGAGTTTCCAATTTTTTTGCTGTAAAACCAATATGGTTTTCCTATTCAGATGAGATTTGTTTTCTTGTCCTAAATGAATTACAATTAAAATGATTTTGTATATAATGAAACGTTAAATTAGTTATGAAAAATAAAACAACCACGATAAGTGAATTAAATTAAAAATGATATAAGAAAACCGGAAAATTAAGTTGTTGAAATATAACAAATTACAAAGTGTAATTAATAGCAAGAATAACTGATGCTATAAGAAATAATATTTTATGAACCAGTTATAAATTTCTAAAAACTTATTTATACAAATATGTACCTCAGTGGCCTTAATTTGCTATAATCTTCCTGACCTTTAAATCACATGAAAATAATTATTAATTAACCCAAAATACCCTATAATAAATTCTACAAAGAACTCATTAAAGATTGGATTTTAAAGAAAATACCAAATACTATCCCATAATTACTTCAGTAACACAAAGCAAACCAAAAGTAATTACCGGAATAAAAGACATTCATTGAATCCAACGCAATCAAATCCTCTTCCGTAATTAGGTGAATTAAATAAAAACTTAAGAAAATTACATAGAACGAGATTACAGAACTTCTATGTTAACTAAAAATAAACGGGTCGGTCATTTTTAGATTAATATAAATGGAGTCATGCCATTTACTAGACAAACGCAAATATAATCATTTACTATATATATATATATATATATATATATATATATATATATATATATATATATATATATATATATATATATATATATATATATATATATATATATATATATATATATATATATATATATATATATATATATATATATATATATATATATATATATAAGTCTTGCAAATTATAAAATTAATCAATGTACAATTTATATACTACAAAAAATGTAAGTGATAACAAAGGAAAATAACATCAGGTATCAAAGGTGGATGAACTCAAACTCAAAGTTTTGCTTACAGTTTGAAAAAAAATACTTTCTCCAATTGCAATTGTAACATGCAGTCACCTTTTTATTTGCTAGTAGAACTTAATTCTTTCCCCTTCTACCTAACCATCTATGCATCCAAACAAATATATCAAATATTGCAACACCTTCGTTGATTTTGAGGCAAAAAAAGTGTAAAGCTGTCAACAGTCAAAATCTAAAATATAAAATTAAAAAAAATTGAAAAAAAAAAAAAAAAAATTATGGTTTTCACGTTATTAGTCCAAAACTGAAACATTTTGAATATTGATCCTTATTTCAAGGTTCAATATAACTTAGGTTTATGTTTTGTTAACTTTAACAACCATTTTAGTTACCTCTCAGAGCATATGGTATGAGTAACTTGAAGTGGTGTTATAACAAGAAGCAATAAGATGAGGGTGGTGTTCATGGTGTTATAACACCATGTTAAGAGGAGAGATAATTTGGCAGCCAATAGGTGATTACGTTTCTTCTTGTCATGGAGACAACAAGAAGCACCACAACAAGATGCAACAAGAAGAGAGGGTGGTGTTTTTGATATTATAACGGCATTATGGTTTGCCAACTCAACCACAACAAGAAACAACACAACCCACACCGTATGCTTTTAAATAACTATTTTGCTCTTAAAAACTCAAACGTGAAGGAAGAACTTAGTATCTCACCAGAAGAAACAAAATACAAAAATGGTCTTCAGTATTACATAAAACGGGGTTCTAAGCTCAGCCTTCATCTGTCTATATTCGGTTTCAAACAAAATCTTTTTCCTTTTAAAGAACCATAAATTTCATGAATCAAATCCTAATGTCACGGCAATTTATCTACCTCAAAATGATGATACCCGTAACCAAATCAAGAATCACTGATTTAAAAATATAAGATTCACAATTCGGTCACGATCTGCTTGATAGATTGAACATAACCCCTCGTTTGAGGAACCAACATGCAGTGAACAATCAATAATCAAGAAATTTTAATCAAATTTAAAATTAAAAGAGAACAGCAACATTAATTGATGTGGCTTTTCAGATGGTGATCTTTCTTTAAAATCACGTCAAAGTCGACGCCATCGATCCCATTGATGATAACCAAAGGTGCGGAGGAGGTTCGAATTCATAATTCCAAGAAACTTGATCCAAATACATAACATCATTATCAAACCATAACCGAAGTTAAATAGAATCGATACATAAAGATAGATTCTACAAATACATCACAAGATATGATGATCTAGCCCTAGTATATAACAACACTTCGTAACAAAAGATTAAAATGTCAAAACCAAGTACTCAAGAGCTGGTAAATTTGGTCACGGCCTTAGTGCCCTCGGACACCGCATGCTTGGCCAATTCACCAGGAAGTACAAGTCGCACGGCGGTTTGGATCTCCCTGGATGTGATCGTTGGCTTCTTGTTGTACCTTGCGAGCCTTGAGCTCTCCTGAGCCAATTTCTCGAAAATATCGTTTATGAAACTGTTCATGATTCCCATCGCTTTGCTGGAGATACCGATGTCGGGATGAACCTGCTTCAACACCTTGAAGATATAGATCTTGTACGTCTCAACGCTCTTCTTGTTTCTCTTCTTCTTCTTGTCTCCGGCAGCAGCACCGGCCTCCTTGGGCAATTTCTTTCCGGCCTTTGGCTTCTTCTCCGCGGGGCCTTTCTCAGGGGCGGGGGTTTTCTTCTCCTCCGCTGGCTTCTTCTCGGCGGGCTTTTTCTCTGCTTTCGGTGCCATTGAATTTGGGAAAAATGTGAAGATCGGGATTCTAGGTTTTCAAAATGGGGGGAAATACGATGGATTGTATGTTGACAGAATAAAGTTTCGGAGAGTGTTTAAATAAGATCGGTGGTTGGATTCTTATTGGTTAGCTTGGTTGTCACACGGATGCATGACGTGGCGGATGTTATGCACGTTAGATGAGGTTAACGGATGACGAAAGTTAATCTACGGCGGTGGTTAAAGCGGGTTTCCTTTTTTTATATTATATATTATAGATAAAATTACAAAAATAATCCCTATGGTATGTATTTTTTTGGGGTTTTAGTCCAAATCATATCTTTTTTGGATTGGTGGTCATTTTGACCTGGGTTCGTTGCATTTTTTGTCCCTCCAAATAGTGAAATGACTATAATACCTTTGGGGTATTTATTTTTCATTTTTATTTCATTTCTTTTTAAATCTAATACTATTTTAATAATTAAAACAATAAGAAGGGACTCACCTCTCTCTCTCTTTCTCTCTCTCTCTCTGTATGTGTTCTATTGTATGAAAAATATTTCCCCATTTCTTCATCTTCTTGATTCCAACATCCACCAACACTGATGGAATGGCTACTCAAGCTTCCCTCTTTGCACTCGTAATCCCCAATCAAACCTCCCCATGGAAACAATCGCAACCCATCTCCTTCAACAACGTCAAACCATCCAAACCCACCATCCGTTTCACCACTATCAAGTTTGCAGCGGTAATGGAGGTCCCCACCAAAGAAGCTCCGATGAAATTTATCCCACCTGAACTCGACCCCAACACCTCATCTCCAATCTTCGTCGGAATACCCCATCTGAGCAGCTCCCTCCGCCACTCCCAGCTGCCATGGTAAAAACCCACTACGACCATGTTTATTTTGTCGAGTACAGGAGACACAAACACCCCGACCCTTACTCCTTCCTCCCCTCGTATCTTACACATCGATTTCTTCCCCTTTACCGCCCACCGGAGCAACTCCCTATAATAGCCCTCTCGATTTCTCCCCTTTATCGACTTACCCTCTTTTTTTTTCCTTCTCTTGTGATTCCTCTGTCTCTCATTTATGTGTATTACCAATGAAATATGTGTTTGTGTATAACCTGTATGTAGACGACGTTTTTGGATTAATTGTCGTTTAAATCAGGTGATATCATGGGTATAACCATGAGCAGTCGAATTGATTATTGTTTATCAGCTCCTCTAACATCACTAATGTTTCTTTTCATCATCGATTTTGATAGCCACTAAACTGAGTCTTCTCAACATCCGTAGGAAATCAGTGGACCTAAGCCCACTATCATCGGACCTTTCACTCTACTGCTGAATC